GAAAATTTCATTGAAATCGGGCAAGCCGTCTAGGAATGATAGAAATCCGAAAAAAACACGTAAAGCCAAACAGAATTATTTTTTTTTTTGTTTTTGCAAAACGTGCAAAGATACACACATGAAATTTCTTATGTGCACCCTCCACACAGACCCCAATCACCCCTGAAAATTTCTTTGATATCGGGCAAGCCGTCTAGGAGGAGTATGTGAACAGGAAGTTTTGCCACTTAATTTTATATATATAGATAGTAATTTTTTTATTCGCTGAATTGAACGTTTCATAGCAACTATTTTTTTTTTTTTGTCAGGGGAATTTCACCCAAATTTCCGCCTGACTTCAAGCATATGGCTTCCTGAGGATTCACTCGACGATAATTAATAAAACTTATCCTGATTATTATAGCCTCGTCTGTTAGCCACTTTACTTCTCCCTATCACTACTATGCTTTAACCAAAACCATATAAATCAAACTTTATACACAGCTTAGAAGAATTTAACAAATTTTCATTAACATTTTTAACTTTTTAATCTGTTTTTTTAGAATTTTTTGAGTATGCAGTTTTATAGCCCACTAAATTTTAGTACAATAAAGTGCAAATTTTTAGCGGCTACAAAATCCCGTTGATTTTTATTATTATTATTTTTTTTTTGCTGACGGCGTTTGCGGGTTTTTTTCATATAACAAGTGCAATTTATAAAAACTAGCGTTGATTTTTTTTTCTTAATTTTCTTTGCAAACGGTCTTGCGAATTTTCTTCCAATGAAATTCATGCTTGTATGGAAAAAAATGCAAAAAGCTTGCATTTTATTATGCTACAAAACTACTATGGGCTACAAATTGCATACTAAAAAATGCAAAAAAATCAAATTAAAAAGCTAAACATTTTTATGAAAATTTGTAAAATTTTTCTAAGCTCTGTACAAAAGTTTGAAAATTTGATTTATATTTACCACATTTTTATGAAGAAATAACAAACAAATTTTTACTTTAAAAACCTTGCAAATATTTAACAAATATCACCATGTACTCATGTTCGCTACCCACTGACATACAAAGTTTTGCTTAAATATATGCTTTTTAATATTGCCATTTTTTCTTGTAGATATTTTTTGCTTTTTAAGTATTTAAATAACAACTGTGATATGTGTAATTTCCCTAATAAGTTTAACCTAGAAATATAATTACGAAAGTATGTAAGTATTGTTGCATTTGATTTTGGTTCATTGTACCATCGGCAAAAAAAAAAACAGAAAAATAACCTTAGATATCAGCTTACAAAGTATGCGAATTCAAGTTTGATTTCAATTGGGTTTGACAGCTGTCAGTTGTAATGAAAATGCAAAACTAAAGCGCCACTAGAGAATCAATTCAAGATAAATAAGATTGACATTCAGAAATGAAATTTTAAAAGTAAAGGTATGTATGCCGCTGTATCCATAACACTACATAACAACAAAAAAAAAACAACAAAAAAAACAACAAACAAAAAAATATTAAAGACAATTTAAAACACAACGTACTTAAAAATTTACAGGTCTAAAATAAAGTCAACAACAAAATGCAATTAACTCAAAATTTTAAGCAAATCGTGCCAAGACTCATAAAAACGTATATGCACTAAAAATTATGAAAAATTTAACACGATGCAAAAATAAAAAATTTTTGCGATAATAAGATAGAAATGTATGTACATATGCAGCAAAAAAATTTAAACAGAAAATTAGAAAAAAAACACAAACACAATGCACACTCTAAATAAGACAGCAATCAAAGAAATGGATGAAAAAAAATATCAGCAAACAGTCGACCACTTTCAACTCACCTGAATTGGCCACCTGGACGCCAATATTGGCAGTGCCGGCTTCCTCATTCTCGTCGTCATGCATTTCGGTCCCAGCGGGATGTGCCTCGCCCTCGTCCAGCGCGGCGCTGCCATTTGCTGGCGGACGGAGCTCAGTAGCCGGCGTCGCTGAATTGGTCATTATTTGTAGTGGTGATAATTTTATATGTGTAATGTGATCGGACGACGAGGCAGAGCCTCCTACATCCTCGATTGTAATACCGGCTATTGATTGAACTATGGTGGTGGTGGGTGGTGGTGGCGCAACTGGGCTACTTAGATTGTTGTCGTTTGCGGTTGTTGCCGTGCGACGCGCGGGCACTGGCGATGATGGTGACGATGAACTCTCACTGTGTCGTGTGTTGCGGCGTACTGGATGCGGTGAACCGTTGACACTATTGCCGGTGCGACCACGTGATGGTGTACGGCTGGGGCGATTTATAAATCTGGAAAGAAAATAAAAAAATAAAACACGAATGAAAGGTGATCTCGATTTAATTAGTTGGTGATTTTTATTGCCACAATAAAGTGGAGCACATATTAATTAGGTGAAAACTAATTAGAGATAGTATAACGGATTGGTAGGCAGCTAGCTGAAACTGGTTTAAGGAGCGAACTGGGATTTAAAGCACAAAACACTTGCTAACACTGCAAACACTTACACATTTTTTTGCTTGCTTTTTATTAAAGAAAATTTAGAACTATTTATCTGTCACAAAAATAGTTAATAACAAATACGTGTAGTTTAAATAACTGTGCACAACTGTTGCTTTTCCGCTCAACTAAACGATACCAAACACGCTAAGCTACTGTCAGGCACCTTCGAATCTCCAACAAACCACATTCACCAGCGAGCTACGAGCTGTACCAGCTCTGCCAGAGCGCGCGCTCTATTAGTGTCCATAGTGACTCAAATACTATATAAACTAAAACATGATTTGTATCTATAAGATACTCGTAAAGAGAGCCAACCAAAACCCATAAACGCACAAACAAAAACAACAAATATGCAAGCGGCCACAGGCGAAACAATCGACTAAAAGCAGCAGGTCGAACAGCTTATTTAAGTCTGGTTAATTTTGTTTTGTGTTGTTGTTGTTGTTGCGAACTGACTGACTGACTGTTACGCGCTATATCCGTATACCTCTGGTTTGGTATGCGTACATACCTTTCTTCTTGTTACCCATTGTTTTTGTCATTTCGTGAGCTATTGTTATTCATACAAAGGAGTTTAAATACATATGTACATAGCCAATATAATTTTCGGCAAGCAGAATTTTAGTTCACAAAATTGCAAAGAACAACTCAAAAATTCTAGTGATGTCGAAGTCAGTAGCGAGTGTAGAAATGGAAGAAAAGGTGGTAAGCTGGCAGAAAAACGAAGGCAAATTTTGCGCATTCCCCGCAGCAAATCTAACCGGCCAATTCTGGCTAAGAATCGAGTAGTTGCAAGTCTTTTGTAAGACAATTGAAAGACAGAGGGTAGGGTAAGATAGCTTGAAAGATTTAGTTTATTCTGAAACGCATTTTGCCATTCGAGGTTCGAAACCTAGCATAGCATAGCGGAATTTAAAATTTTTTTAAATTTAATTATCTATTCCCGGCTTAGAAATGAGCTTCAAATACAAAGATGTAGTGGAATAATCTTTAAAGTGAGGAATGAAGCGTTTTCAAATCGCTTACCAAAGAAGTACTCTATCGTTGGGAGGTGGTGTATTGGGTTAAAGTCTCTTACTGACGAATATCGGGTGAGGTTTTCGATGCTTCCTTCTCTGGGGAAAAAATGGTTTTATCTTAGAGATATAGATAAATACATATGTATGTACATAAGATCCGTCTTGGTAACGAACGCACGGCTTACCAAAAACCTACTTCCATTTCCGAAACGGTGTGAAGGTTTTGGTGGTGGTTGGTTCAATGCGAGACTTCTGAATATCTGAAAACCGACTTCGTTTGGTATAGAGGGAATGGGACTGTCTAATCTTCTCCTAATGAATATTACAATTCCTAACCGCTGCAATCGACACTTACTATAGCGTGTTTTTTTGTAATCCTATAGTTGATAAGTATTTTAGTTTTTATCTCCCTCTTTTAATTACAGAAAATTCGTCTCACTTACCTTTTCAGCTCAAGGTGCATAAGTCCACGCATTTAAGGAAATTTTTTAATCGCCATACCCCAGGCAGTTGCCAAAACCGATTATTTGGTGTTCGGTTCAAGCAGTTAACAATTTTCGGTCTTTGAAACAAGTATCCTCTGGGCATCAACCAAACACCCGTGAAGATGGCGAAACCCCTTGCACCCAGCAAAGGGCTGTGCGCTGAGCTGGACCCGCCACGTCAAAATAGCCCCCGATTTCCCCAGATAAGACCCCCTTCTTTTTGATTTAGCTAGCAGCCTTATACGAAATATACTCACTCAAATACATTCCCTACTCAAAAGAAGAAACTTTGATTCGGAAGTCAATTGTATTTATGTTATGTGGTTCACTATTTTATTCAACCTTTTCAACCTCAATTGACTAGATTTCAAAACCAGTTACAATATGAACCGACTTTTTCTCGTATTACTAGCATTGTGACTACCGGGTAAACCTGACTCAAAAGTTACTCTCACAAGGAAGTGCACAAATGTTTGTATGTTTGTTGGTTTATATTTGAATGAAGAGAAAAGCGAACTAAAATAAAAACAAACTAAAACAGACACAGAACAAACTAACCGCTCAACAACTGTTAGTTACTTTGAGGTAAGCAAACAAACGCATACATACATATATTTAAATATGTATGCATAGTAGTGGGCACATAATTAGGGACACTACTTCAGTACAAGTTTATTTTTTCTTTATTTTTGTTTTTAAATTACTTTTTACAAAAATATAGTTTATAACGCAACAAAAACTAAGCATCTCAAAATTGCAAACCTTGTACAAGATTTATAAAAAAAAAGATCGCCAAATTTAAAAAAATGGTTATCAAAATTTCAAAATCTTCGAACATACTTTATATGGAAGAAAATGCGTAAAGAGCGTGTCAGACGTGACAATATTTCCAACTCTTCCACGCAATATTTCGCAGTCAAAATGAGAAAGAGAAATTTTGTTTCGACGTGTGAACAGCCAGAAAGACCTTTCATTCACATTTCGGAAATCAGTTTCAGAAATAAAAGTTGTAAGATTTGACTGCAATTGAGAGAGCGCAAATCGATTTCGGAAATATATTTCCGCCTTTCGGAAATAAAAAAAACCTCTATCGAAAGGCACTCTTAATACAAGGTGTGACTGCTCATGCAACTTATTTCTGAAATTTCTTTATTTGACAGCCTTTTCGAAATATATTGCATTGCCACGTCTTAAACGCTCTTTATACCATCAGCAAAAAAATTCTCAAAATCAATGCGATTTTTTAGCCGCTAGCCCTAATTATATTTTGATGGCCATTTTTTGATTTTTGATGGCCATAAGCAGGGAACGGATTTTTAGCACCTAAAAGCCTATAAAAAGGAAAAATAAAATAGCGAGATAGGCAGGAAAAGGCACTAGAAATAGCAGTCAAAACTTGTTAAAAAATAGTGTCCCTAATTATGTGGCCGCCAATGCATGCACCTACATATGCATACACGCAGGTAAAGGGTGTTTATAAAGGGCTGGCGCTTTTAAAGAAATGCTGAATTGCAGAAGCAGATTTGGGGTGTTATACGAACAATATCAGCAGTTTTTTGGGGTAATTATCATGTAAGAAATAATCCTGGATTACCCTACCTCTAATTCTCCTATCCTGTCTGTGTAGAAGAAAAGTTTAACTTAAAGGTTTTCTTAAATTCTAGATTAGAAGATCGTTAACGAAATTGTTTACCTGATACTAAAAGCTTGTGAAGAATACTTGCTACTGCGGCCGTGATGTTTCGACGCTTCTTTCCAGTCTGATGCAGAGTTTGCTGTAATTTCGTGTATATGGAATTATATGAGCAGTTGGTCCAAAATCACACTAAACGCATCCGTAGGACTGCACTTAGTTGATCTTGTACCACGTTCACAAGTTTCTTTGTTCAACTTCGCCGCCGAGAAAAATGCGAGAGTTGTGCCATTCTAGGGAAATGAGTCTGAATTGTGTTCTTTCCGTTTTGTAGGAAAAGAGCACCATCAGCTCCGGATTGTTCGGAATGACACTAAGGCCACTTTACTACACACACTAAACGTGCATGCATACAAACATATGAATGTAAATTCGAAATTTTTAGCCATCAAAAAATGAAAATTAACTGCATTTGCCTTTCCGACATTGCCTTAGGAAACATATTTCTCTCTCCCGAAACTATAGAACGAACTCAATTTGACTGGCCAAACTCCTAAAGTCACACCCTTTTATAGAAATTCTTCGCTTACTGTGCGCACTGCAGTGAGGCAACTCAGTTCACACAATACACAAACAAATAAGCATTCATCTTTGTGCAAATAAAACGCGCCAACAAGAACAGCTGCTGCAAAACCAGCCAATAATGTAATGGTGATAGTTGTGAATTGTTGGAAAAATTTGCAAAAGTTTCTTTACGTTTTGTACAATATTATTTTACGCGAATTTCGCAAACAGCAATTGCAAATAGTGTTTAAAGTAAGTTAGAGAGGAGGTGTTCTTTGAACTTTAAAAATCGCTCCTTAACGCCATGTCTACACAGGCAAATACTTATTGCTTGATATCTGTTGCCGGCAATGAGCTGTCAGTATGGTAGATTGTTAGTGGTAACATCGTGGAATTTTTTATATTAAATCAAAATAAAGAGCCACCCTGTATTCGATTACACAGGCCAACAGCATTTTTGGGGACTGAATGAGTCCAACTCAGAAAGACCTAGACCCATATAGTAAAAGCATTCTAAGGTAAAATTCTTTGATGACCATATTAATTTTGCAATTTTTTTCCTGAGTGTTTTTAGGATAAGTGGACAAATAGGGTTAAAGTTCATATCGGAGCGAAATACGTTTGCGTTTGGGAGGTAACTAGAGGGTTAAAATGTTCTCGAATTGCAGGAAAATTTCACTAGGAGTACTTTCAGACAAAATCTTTATACGAAGAACGTAAAAGTCCACCGAAAATTAAAAACAAACAAAGGTAAGAAATTAGTCAGCAAAGTTTTTTAGGATTTCAAAATTTCTAAGCGCCGAAATAGAGAGAATGTTGCATGGAATTGCACAGTGTTCCGTGTTGGAAAAAAATAGACAAAACTAAATATCTCTAGAACGAGAAGAGATAGCGAAAATAAATATAAGGGTATTTAAAAGCTTTTGAAATGGAGAATTAAGTAAAAGTATGATTTTTATTTTGATATTTAACAAGACCTTCAAATATAGTTTTTTTTTAAGTTTGCAACTAGACCGCAATGTACTTTTAACAAAGGTTTAAATATATAATATTAATATTAAATATATATTTTTGCTGTTCTAGGGTCA